AGACTTTGAACGTCCAGGACCATGAGAGAATAAATCTGTGTTGCTTTAAGCCACCAAGTCTCTGGTTATTTGTCCGGAGGCCACCGGAAGCTCATACGGGATGATCGTGTTTCTGCCAGGGAGGTTTGGGGTTCTGAAGACACCTTGTTTGCAATGCACCCCCTGGGATGGAGGCAGCCATGTCTAAGGGTGCCTCCCAGGCACAGTGTGACCAGGCCTGGGCAGGGCTGGCAGACACCCCACAAGGAGGTTGTCATGTGGGGACTCAGGGAAGACATGATGCTCCCTCCTTGGAGGGATGTTTGCTCTGAATCTGGCTCTTCTCACGGCTGCTGTAGCCGGGCCCGCAGCCACCTCTGCCTGTGAGGAACCACAGCATGGCTGATGGGCCTCTGCCTGGCCACGTGGAGTCTGAGGGGACGTGGCAGCCTTGGCTGCGGGGGAGCTTCGGACACTCACAAGGTTTGACATAAAAGAACTTGAGGGAGATTCCAAGGGCTCCAGGGTCATCCCCCCAAGGGTTTTGGGCAGTAGAAGACCAGGGGGAGGATGTCCCAGCCCTGCTGTGGCGGGGACACATTCCCCCTACTGTCCTGTCCACTTACCCGGCTGGGGTCTGGAAGGGTGGAGGGTGGGACCCAGGCCTGCCCTGGCGGGTCCACATTCCAAGGGAGTGGAATGACGGGCAGGTGCCGGAGAGAAGCTGGGGGAGGTGGTCTGTGGGGAGAGCTCAGCTCAGGACCCCCACCGAGAAAGGCTGATTTAGACCCCACCACTACCCGTGAAGCACTTCCAGGGGCTTCCAGGGGCTTCTGAAGGTCACAGCACATACTTATTCTAGAGAATTAAGCAAACGTAGAAATCTATAAAGAAAATTCAGGAACTCATAATACTACCACCCTAGATCACAGCTGATGTTGCTGCATTCCTCTTCAGTCATTCTTTATATGCTCACAGACACGTGACACCCAGCACGTCTACAAAGGGCACAGACATGCACGTGACATGCACCTGACATGTATACACAGGACAGGAGCCCAGTCGCACCTATCACACCCAACACTTGCATACGTGGCCACAGACTTTTTTCTTTCACAAAATCAAAGCAATACTGTGTATACAAACTTATAACCTGCTTTTTTTCTTTTCACTTAACAGAGGCTGATGGTTTTACATTGGGTCTTCTTTGAAAATTTGTTTTTTACGGGTACACAATATTACATGGGGTGGCCACATCCTAATGAAATCCCCATCAGGTACTGATGCTCCTTCCCAGTTTCCACTCCTTCATATCATTCCAAAAAGGACATCCTGTTTTGCAATATTAAGCTTATTCCTGTAAATCCCCGTGTCTCTTGGTGATCTCTCCTAGGATCGGGTTTCGATCTTCCTGTAATGAATGATGCATTCTCTTCTGTTGGACTCACACATCACATTTATCACTCTCTCCGCCCCTGGGCCACCACCTTTTGTTTGTGAAGGGACCTGAGGACTGAGGCCACCCCGAGTTGTTCTAAGTTTTAGATTATTCCTCCCATGACTCACCCAAGCATTCTGAAGGGTGAGTGGAGGTTGGGAAGCCCATGCCCACGTCTCCATGACACCCAGAGAACAAATCGCCATTCACCCTACCTTGGACGGCCATGTTGGAATTCTTGTTGGAAGCCCTGCCAACCCGCCAGTGTATGTAGCTGCCCCCAGAATCTTGTCACTGTCGTCCAGCACCGAGCTGGCCATTTGTTCCATTTGCTCAACTTCTGTCTGTGAACCCTATGAGGGCAGTGAGCGCGCTGCCCTTGCTCCTTGTGGAGCCTTCGGTGCCCCAGGGGTGCCCAGTTAGTACAGACGAGTGGATGGATCAATGGAAAATGAAGAAGCAGATGGTGCTGGCTCTGCCCTCTGGGTCATGGGACTGTGGACCCGTGTGAATCGGAGTGCAGGAGGGGGAGGGGAGGCTGCCCCTCCTGGGGTCTGAGGGTCTTCCCTCTTCCCAGTGTGATACACTCTCCTCACAGCCAGGCCAGCAGGGATGGGCAGCCCATCCACACCCACACCCAGGATGTCATCTCGAACGGCCAAGTCCTCGAGAACTCATGACTGAGAGAGGCCCCTTGACTCAGGGGAAGGTAACTGAGGGGAGCCTGGGCACATGGGTGGTAGTTCAGACCTGCCAGGATTCAGATATCAGCTCTGCCAGACCTCACAGTGGGGGCACAGGGCAACGCTTGCAGGCACAGCCCCCTAGTCCTCAGCACAGCTCATCTGCTGGAGGGGGGAGCAGGGGTGCAGGTAAGGGGCAAAGGCATGGGCTCTGCTACAAAGACGTCCCTGGTGGAGGAGAGGCCTGATGATCCCGGTACTGAGAAGGGAAATGGAAAAATGTCTCCCGAGATTATTTTGTTTTGTGCCCTGAGTTTCTTCTCTGTAAATAGAGACCTGAGTCAGGATCAGTCTTATGCTCTGGTCATCGGTCAGAAGGGGAGCTAGAAAAACAAAAGAATCACACATTGTGATAGAGGCAAAGCAGAAGCAATGCCTGGAAGCTGATGGCTTGTTGGTTTAGCAGACAAGCAAGAATTCACCAGAAGGGCCACTATTGTTCATTAGTGCCCCAGCCCTGGGAAGAGCCAGAAAGGGGGATACTGCATCCCTGCAGGTCATGGAACATCCCCTTACTCCACTCTCCTGAGGCAGCCACCCGCCCCTCCCAGTCACCGACCAAAGGCTCCAGTCTCCCCCCAGTGTACGCAGCCTGGTTGTTTCCTTCTTCAGAGCCAGAAGGGAAAGCAAGAGTAAGTCGGCTTGGAGTTTGTATACGTGTATGTGTGCGTGTAGGTCTGCGCACATATACATGATGTATATATGTATAAAGACATATCAATATGTAATACTGTGTGTATAAAACATAATGTAATCATGAAAATATGTACTATAGGGCGACTGGGTGGCTCAGTCGGTTAAGCGACTGGCTTCGGCTCAGGTCATGATCCCAGGGTCCTGGGATCGAGCCCCCATCGGGCTCTCCCTGCTTGGCGGGAAGCCTGCTTCTCCCTCTCCCGCTCCCCCTGCTTGTGTTCCCTCTCTCGCTGTGTCTCTCTCTGTCAGATAAAGAAAGAAAAAGAAAAGAAAAGAAAAAGAAAGTATGTACTATAAAAGCAATAATTATGTATATATAATGTAATCAAGGGGTGACATCCATCAACTTTGCTACTTCTGTTGGTAAGAAATAAGTCACAGTTTCCACCTTCAGTCACAGGGAGGGGATGACTGACTGGGGGTCACCTCAGGGTACCACATAGAGTGACACGGACACCAGGACTTTTCAAATGCCTGAGATAATTTGAATCGCAGCAAAATTTGAGAAACTGATCCAAGGAACTTTGCTGTCAGCTAATGACAGAAGCAGGTTGTGTCTTCTGCAGGCGCTGCCCAGTCCAGGCCCAGCTGCAGACTTGTTCATCTGGGGACACTCACCAGATGTGCTGGGGGAGATGTGCCACATGCAGTTGGATGCACTGGTTGGAAGTTTGGAAGGAAGGGCCAAATGACCTGATTAATTTAGTAAATTATTTAAAAAGCCATCTATCTCTCCTCTTGTGTTATTATTTTTTTTACAAAGCAACTTATTTTTAAATAAAAAATTATGAAGCAAAGGAAACAAGCAAAACAGTGAAAGAATAAGGTGAAAAATATAAGAAACTGACATTCTGGTCTTGGGGAACTAAAGATGTTCTGTATAAAGACCAAAAAGATCCTTTCTCAAAGAAGAGACTGACACATTAGACCATATCTATGGAGTCTAAACAAAGTGAGATAAGCCACAAAAGGGGGAAATGTGTTTAAAATGTAAATAATTGAGGCTTGATCAGTTTCCAGAATTCCCAAAGAAGCTTTAATCAAAAGAAAACAAGAAGGAACCCACTTTCAGCCACAGGACAGGACCCGTGACCAGGCAGGTCACCCACGAAGGGACAAGGACCATCGGAGACGCGCCCGCCTGCACAGTTTCAGAAACCTGCAGATGGAAAGAACAGGGAGAACAGTTCTGCGGGCGGGGGCGGAGCAACACCTGGGAAGGCATGATGGTGCTGGGGGGCAGAGGGGGACAGCCTGCCCTCCCTGGGGGGGCCACACAGGGCTCTCCTGGGAGGGAGGTGGTGACTCAGCAGTTTCATTTCCTGGTGGGCTGAGGCTCATGGGAGATATGCAGATGAGCCCAGAGCACCATGGGAAAGGGCCCTTTATATTGCCAGGTGGGCCGCTTCCCCTCCTTTCTGAGGGGCGCCCACAGGAGGGAGGTGCCAGGCAGGGTGAGAACCCCTCGGGCTGAGGAGCGGGTCTGGGGGACACAGGCTGGTGGGGTGGGGTGGGGTGAGAGGCTGAAGCGCCCAGGTGGTCCAGCCTGGCCTCGGGCCGGGTGGGGGGGTTGACTCCACGAGCTTCCCTCAGCGTCCCCCATCAGGTCCCGTCAGGTTCCATCGGGTCCCGTCGGGATCCCTCAGGTTCTCTCAGGTCCTGCCGCGCGAGGCTGACTGGCTGCCGGGGTCTCGGGGGTGGGGGTCGGGGAGGTTGGGTGGGGAGGGCGCGGGTGCCCCACGGGCCTGGGGGCAGGGCTGAAAGGGCCAGGTCTCAACCCATCGCCCCTGCCCCTGCTCCCCCCAGTGACGGGTGACCAGGGACCGGCCACCCTGCCTGCCGGGGGGCACTGACCTCACTTGCTTGCCCTCTGCGTCTTCCCAGAGAACAGAGCCGTCGCATAAGCTGAAGAACCCTCCGGAAGTCCGACCTTCCCGACCCCTGCGGATCCCTGTCGACTTGCGACCCAGCTCCTCCACCCCCCCATACCCAGACAAGAACCCCCTTTCTTTCTCTCCCCCGCCCCCCGCCCTTTCCGCTCCTCCTCCAGCCCCTCCCTGCCCCGCCCCCGCCTGTGGGCCAGACCCCCTGAGCCCCCCAGCACGTCCCGCTCTCGCTGCCCACCCCAGTAGGAGGCAGGCAGCGTGGCCATGTGCCCCCCGGTCAGCGCGCGGTATGGGGGCGAGGGCATGTCCTACCTCCATGCATCCTGGATGTATCAGCTTCAGCATGGCGACCAGCTGGGGGTTTGCTTCGCTTGCTTCAAGGCTGCCTTTCTGGAACTCAGAGACTTGCTGGGCTTGGAAGACTGGGAAGATGAAGACTGGGACCCTGAGCCGATGGACCACGCCGAGGCGGGGCCCGAGCAGGGGGGGTCCCCGGGGATGGGGTTCGGCTGGGGGCAGGGCCAAGGTCACCCCGCACAGGGGGGGACTGCGGACTGGGGGCCAGGCACCCTGGCGTCAGCCCCTGCGGGGTCTGAGGAGGTGGGCCTGGACCACCACTTTGTGCCCACCGAGCTGGAGCCTCACAACGCAGCACCCTTGGGCCTGGGTCCTGAGGATGCCGACTGGACCCAGAGCCTGCCCTGGAGACTCGACGGGCCCCCCACCTGCTCGCACTGGCCGACTCTCCCTCCTCCGTGGCAGGGGTTTCTCAAAGTGGACCTGCCCCCGGGGGAGCCCATGGTGTTGGAGCTGGGCACCACCCGGGCCGTGGACCCTGCCGAGGCCGAGGCCTGGTTAAGGGACCTGGAGGTCGTCTCCATGGTGGGTTGCTACGATGCCATCTACCTCCGGAAGATGACAGTGGGATGGACCCTGAGGACCCCGGGCCGGGGCTGGAAACTGCTGCTGGAGCCCGACGAGTTGTGGGTGGTGAGACTACAGGACGCGCCCCAGGAGCAGGACCTGCACAAGTGGAAGCTGAGCATTCTGGAGCCCTGTCCTCCAGGGCAGACCGAAGAGCTGGTCCCTGCGGACTCAGCCCTGCTTAAGAGGGGATTCACCATCCTCTCTTACTCACCCTGGGCCAAGAGGGAGGCAGGGGAGGGGGCCTCCGCAGCCAGGCCACAGTCCTCATCCCCCCAGGGACGGGATCCCAGCACCACTGAGACCTGGAGCCACGGGCCCAGTGGGTCCCGGGGGCCTGGGGAGGGCCCGGCTGCCGTGGGAGCCTCGGCCCTGGGGGAGCTGCCCTGCTTCCAGCCCTTCAGGCCAGGGCCCCAGAACTGAGGGACTGAGGCCCAAGTGGCCACCATTGTCCTGGCCGCCCCCTCCCCACAACAGCCAGGGGAGCGACTGGCAAAGAATGGGGGACTAGTGCCCGGGGAGGGAGAATGGGGAGCTGCCTAGGGACTGAGAAAGGGGACGCGTCACTGCCTCCGTGGAAGGGACCCAAAGGCCCGGAACCGGGAGAGAATTTCTTCTCCGTCAAATGTCGCGGAGCCAGGAACGTGACGCCCTCTGGGACGCGGTCGGTGAATGGCTGCTGCGCAGCTCGGCAAGTGGGGTGCGGCACACGCGTCTGTGCACCAGCCCTGCCCTGGCCACACGCAGGGATGTGTCCAGTGGGGCCCGTGTCCCAGGAGCACGCGGAGGTGGGGGCAGCGGGGCTGTGTGCTTGCCTGTGCCTGGGTGGTCTCTGGGGCCCCGGGGGACCCTGTCAGCCGCAGTGGGGACTCTGGTCTGCACGGGGAGAGACCCTAGTTTCATATGTTGGCCATTTTATGCAGTTTGACCGTTTAGTACCCGTTTCTTTGTGTGTTGTTTTTTAACTGAATAAAGTCAGAAGAGTTTTGCATCCAGGCCCTGGGTGAGTCATCTGTCAGTTCGTCCTTGTTGGTGGCCTTGTCTTCTCAGTGCCTTGGATGAGCCCCCTTGACGGGTTGAAATCTCCTAGGAGCAGGAGACAGAAGTGGGGACAGCACAGGGCAGTTGAGTCAGTGTTTTGGCTCATGGTAAGAGTTTGTTTATCACATTATTTATAAACAAACACATGCACGCTTAAAGGGCCATGTTGTGAACAATAATGAGTGTATCATCAAACACAGATTTCTATCAATCTAAATGTGTCCCGATTAAAAAAAAAAATTTCAGGCAGAACATGTGTAAAGAATGCTAATATATTCCCGAGACAGAGGCAGGGGGTAGGTACCAGCATCCCAGTGTGCTGTTCACTCACTGGAGTAGGATGCTCTGGAGTTCTGGGCACCAGGGTGCCATAGGCAGGAGAGATACTCTTAATCAGGGAAGATGTTCTTAGCAGGTTTTCCTTCTTGCGAATGATTGATCTGGAGGTTTCTGTTGCCCTCCATTGGTGGTCTCTGGCTGACACGGCCTTCCAATGATTCAAGGATGGGCTGTTTCCCTTTCAGTGACAAATACAGCTCTAGGGGTCCATTCTGGAGGGTTTTCCTGTGCATTATGTTTATCCTATCGAATTCGAGGGCAGTTTTCCTCCCACGTATCTTTCAGAAGCAGTCCTGGTCTTAAATCATGAAGGCTTCTGATGCTAATTAAGTGAGAAAAAAACTTTAATGCAGCAACAGCCTTTCAACACCCCTAGATCATTCTATGAGCACTTAGTGAGCTGGAGTCTGTATTAGAACATTTACCTGCCTTCTCTCCCAAACAAACCCTGCCTGGTCTTACTTTGTCCCTTCCCCTCTCCATCCCTCCAGATTAAATAGTCCATTTATTCATTATTCCAGCAAACTCTTGTTTTGAGCAGCCTTTTTTTCCCCTTAATGACCTGGCTTCTTTGCAGAACTTCAGGCCATCCTGCAGCAGGGCCCAGGCGAATGCTCGAGCTCTGTACCAGGAGACAAGAGGGTTCCTCAGCACTTCTCATCTGGAAATAGACAAAATACCAACTCACAAGGTTGCGGTGAAAATTAAAAAACATAAAATATATCCTCAAAAATTAAATCTATAATTACCATATGAATTATGTACCCAAATGAGTTAAAAAGGTACATGCTCATAACAGCACTGTTCATGATCCACGTGTCTAGATGAAGGGATAAACGAAATGTGGCATGCCCGTACAATGGAATATGCTTCACCATAAACAGGAATGAAGAACTCACCTATGCTATGGCATGGATGAACTTCGAAACCATCCTGCTAAGTGAAAGAAGCCTGTCACAAAGGCTACATGTTGTACTTACATGAAATGTCTGGAATAGGCAACTCCATACGGACAGTGGTGATAAGTGGTTGCCAGGGACTGAGGAAAAGGAAGAATGGGAAGTAACTGCTTAATGGGTGTAGGGTCTCCTTTGGGGACAATGGCAATGTTCTGGAACTGGATAGACGTGACCGTTGCACAATAGTTAACTTTATGTTATGTGAATTTCACCTCAAATTTAAAAAATCAAGTGTAAATGTTGTAACACATTGGTCCAGAGCAGAGATAACTGTGTGTTTTCTTCCCAGAGGACCTGGGGAGAACACCCCCACACACCCCCAGACACGGCCCCAGTGTGAATTATTCCACTCTGCTTAAAGCAGCTGTAGTCAGTTCTGGCTGTTAATGGAAATTAGCTGGGGTGTGTGCCGTGGAATACCACAGAGCCTTTCAAGGCGTGAATGAGCTCTTATTTTTCAGATTGAGAGAAAACAGAAAATCGCAAAAGGATAGGTACAGTCCAGTCCCATTTATGAAAATTTTAAAGCACATTATTGATTGCACATGGAAAATACAAGGTCAAAAAAAAAAGTTTGGGAGTTACCTCAAACTCAGGGCAGTGGAACCTCTAGGGAGGGAAGAGAATGGGAATGAGGACTAGGGATATAATAGTTCCTCAAACAACACTCTGAAACAAATATTAAAAATACTGTCACTAGGGGCGCCTGGGTGGCTCAGTTGGTTAAGCGACTGCCTTCGGCTCAGGTCATGATCCCTGGGTCCTGGGATCGAGCCCTGCATCGGGCTCCCTGCTCAGCG